GAACATGCTACTGGGATGTATTTGGCTTTATTTTCTGGATGCTGCATAATCTTTGGCAAAAGGTAGTAAATGATTTATGGTTCATAAAGGATATACAATAAACCAGGCATCTCTCTCCCCTGTGTAAAACCATTCAGACCATTGAGGGGCCTTGTACTGAGAATAAAGTCTCAGCTTTGTCACGCCCTACAGGGCATGCTTGATTTGCCCTTGCCCACTTCCCTGCCCCACCTCCTGGCCTCTCTCCCGTGTTCCCTGTGCTGAGGTCATTCCCTCCACATCTCCAAGCCCAGCTTGGGTCTGTCTTGAGTGTTTTGCAAATGCTCTTTGTCTCTTCCCTGCCTCCTTTAACAAGACTAATTCCTCTCCTTGAGGTCTCAGCTTTCATTCATCTCAGACATCACCATGTAAAGTAGTGGTCATTACCCTTTTTCAAAACATTTACCATCATTATTTGCAATTTATTTGATATGTTTGCAAAAATTTTGACAAATATTATTTTAATACGTATAAAGCCTTCTCATAACACCCTAGGAGGGAGATAATAGGAATTCATATTCCCATTTTACAGATGAAGAAACAGACAGAGGTAAAGTCATTTTCCAGGGACACAAAGATAGGCAGTGGCTGAGCCCAGTTCAGACTCAGACGGGTTGATGTCTAGAGATCATCCTCTTAAATAACCACTCTGCTGATTTGCCTCTCAGTGTGGTGTGACCCTCCATCAAATACTATAACCATTGTCTTCCCCCAACCCCCACAACTTTACTAACATGTTTTGTTGTTTTTTTTTTTTAATTTTTTCATAAGGTTTAAAAAAATTTTTTTTTATTACTGTTCTCTTCCACCTGTATTTGCTTAGGTCTTCTGTGGCTAGATAGTTGCTGGTCTTCATCTCCCATCTGTAGTTACTGAACCAGCCCCTACTGTCCTTATCTCACACCTGGTTCCTATAGAAGCCTCCTAACTGATCTGCTTCCAGTGACTTCTTACGTCACTCTATCAAGTCAAACCATCTTCTCCAGAACTGCTAAACAAAAATCTCATTAACATCAGATCATCAGCCTGCTCAGGGACTAATAATAGCTGCCTGTTGCCTACTATGTTCAGTGTAAACCTGGCCAGCTAGCCTTCGGCTTGTTCCTCCATCCACCCACATCGTGCTCACCCAAACTTAGCTCCTCCTGCTCTTTACCAGGACTCTCCGTTCTGACCAGAATGGTCTCAGTTTCCCTGTCTTGGGTTTTCATTCCTGTCTCTGCACCTTTCTTCAGGCTTTTGATCCGACATGACTGTACATGTAAGGATAAGACAGCGTCCTTGCACCCAGGACTCCGACAGTGTGATTCAGGTGAGTAAGAGAGGTCATAAGAGAGGTCAGAAAGGAGCATGACAGCCTAAGGGAGAGAAACTAGGGAAGGAGATCTTTGAAGTGGCTTTTTGAAGCACACACATGCCCGCACGAAGCAAAGAGTAGATGTTCACAAGGTATACACTTCAGCTGACACCGATCTCTCTTTTTATCACACAATACACACTTTGGTTTTAAACTATATCTTGTCTTTTATTATGCTCTTTGAAATTTGTCTGTTACCTCATTCCTTTAAAAAAAATTGTCTATTAACCTATTCCTTATACTTTAGGTTCACCAATAAGATCATAACTCCTTGAAAGCAGAGATCGTACCTTTTCTTTCTACTTCTCCCGAGTACTTCCCTGAACTCAGGATAATTGCATAATAAAAATAGGTTGGTTTCATTAATAAGGCTGCAGCAGATGGCAGGTGCCTTGTAGGTGAACCTTAAACACCTAATCTCTTATCTGCCTACTTTGAACGTTAAGTTGCTCGGAGGTTTGGATTTCATGGTATCTAAATAAATTTAAATATGTAATGTTCTACAATGCTAGAATTCTGCATCTACTATTTGGTGTTATTTGATGTTTTTATGCTTTGATATTTTGCTTCTGTGTAATACTTCTGTGTGTAATTTGCATAACTTAAGGGATGTGTTAATGTATATCTGTTTGGGTTTAGAATTTTCATCATGTGAGAGGAGAGTTAAGACTAAGTGACTGGGAAGGGTGTGTCCTTCAAAAGCCTGACACTTCAACTTCACTGGGAAATTAAGGAATTTGAGTCTAAATACTATAACATGGAGTAGAATGTTTATCAGCATTTACTTAATCAAAATAAAAGACTTTAAGCCCAATTCTTGCCCGAATAGGAAACTGGTTTAGGTGAAGAGAATATAACTGAGCTCTTGAGAGTTCAGCAAACCTTTCCTGCCCTTCCATTCAAACCTTTCTTTGCTTTCTCCACCTTTGAACAAGTTCAAAAATCCTTACTCTCAAGAGATGATCTTTTCTATTTTACCAAGATGATTAGGAATGTGAATGTCATTTTTTTTTTTTTTTTAATTCTTCTGATTTTACTCATCTTCCCTTGTCTCTGCAGAAGAAGACACGAACTCTGGTTGATGACATTGCCGCCCTCACTGACTTTACTCTCACATCCCCCCCCGCCCCACCCCAGCCATTTCTGGTATTGCTCAGCAATTTATTTATTTATTTTTCAACCCCCTTCACCTATCCCCTCCCCGCTCCCCCTGCAACCACCTGGCTCTGAGTTTGTCTTCTAGATTTCACATTGAAGAGACTCTCCAGTATTTGTCTTTGTCTCCTCGCACATTTTGAGACCTGTCAGTCTGTCTCTGGTTTTCTCCTGTCCGCACAGCTCCGGTAACAGCACCCCTCGTTACCTTCTGCATGCTGCATAGCTGTATCTTTCCAATTGTTTACCCTGCCTTTGGCTTCCCATTCTGTAGAATGGGACTACATGGTGCTACCAGAATAATTTTCATAGAACGTGTCGATGACCAAGCTAGTTCTCTGCTCAGAGATTTCAGTGGCTCCTTAACACATACAGGATCCAACCCAAGTCTCAGTCCTTCCGCAACGTGGCCCCAGTCGAAACTCCCATCCCTGTCTCTTACTTCCTATCCCTGTTTACTCTGGTTTTCTAGCCAATTTGGGCAACTTGTTCCTGAATAGATTCTTCTTCTGTTCTTCTATTCTGGAAGAACTTACATATCCATACTTCAGAGGCTCATGGTTCTGTTTTCTCCACAGTCTTTCAGAATTCATCTGTATTTCTTTTCTTTTTTTTTTTTTTTCATCTATATTTCTATAGGACTTTGTTTATATCCCTGTTTTGGTACTTAGTACATTTTAACTTAATCCATTATTTTCCTAAGTGTTCCCTAAGAGATGTTTTAAGTTAAAAGAATGGCCAGTGAAAATTGAGAGATCCTTTTCTTTTCTTTTTCTTTCTTCTCCATGCCCAGTGTTGAACTCATGACCCTGAGATGGAGAGTCACAGGCTCGACCGACTAAGCCAGCCAGGCACCCCGAGAGATTTCCTATACAGAGAGCTGCTATCCCCACTGCCTTAGCCTCCTGCAGAAGGAAGGCATAGCAACATACTTGAAGCACAGGAAGGAAAATAAGCGGCTTAATTTGGTTTACTACAGCGTTTCCCAAACTTATAAAAAATTTTTTTCTTATGAAATATGAACATACAGTGCAAAACACTTTGGAAAATACTGTCCTAAACTAGATTCTTGTAGGCATGTCTACTGTTCAGATTGAAAGCTCTTTGAAAATAACTACTGGCCTTTTATTATTTTCCTGCCTTAGCACTTCGTAGATAGTTAATGCTTATTAAATCAAGTTGCGTAGCCAGTCAAGACTTGGATGTTTCTTTGGAGACCTGAAATATGAAATTAGCAAAGCAAGCTGATCTTCCATGTCTCGTAACTGGCACATACACAGTAGGTACTCAGTAAATGTTGAAGAAGGCTCAATAAATGTGGAGTGTCTTTAAAAGGGTGTAATTAAGTTGCACTAATAGGGTGTGCCTATTTTCCCAATAATTGTGTGTGCCTGTGTGTATGTTCATGTGTGTGTGCATGTGTGCTTGTTTAAATAACCCAGAAAAGGAAAATTGGGCAAAGTGGCCTGATTTTCTAGGTTTTCCACCATCTTTGAATCTTTTGCTGTCTTTGCTTTTCTATGTATGCTGTAATTTAAGAAAACAGAATTTAAAATAAAACCTACGCTTATTAAAAAAACACGGCACTAGGTAAATTGGTGATGGGTGGCGGTGATAGGAAGTACCATACAAACATGATATTTTATTTATTTTTTAAAGCATTTTATTTTATTTATTTGGGGGGGAGGGGCAGAGGGAGAGTGAGAATCCCAAGCAGGGTCCATGCCTACTGTGGAACCCAACATAAGGCTTGATCTCACAACCCTGAGATCATGACCTGAGCTGAAACCAAGAGTCGGATGCCTAACGGACTGAGCCACCCAGGCGCCCCAAAACATGATATTTTAAAATAAAGATTCCTATTGGAATTAAAATACCACTTAACTCAGCACTGGAATTCATAGACCTTTAATGAGTACATCGAATATATTAAGTGACACGGTCATGCAGAGTCTCTTGGCTAAGGAGGTGAATGAACAGAACGGTTCAATCTTAATAATTTTTGTTAAAACTGTTAAACCAACAACAAACACCACCACAACAGAAATCTCAGACTGGTAGTAACGCTATGTTCATAGAGCAGCCTTTGTTCCGAAACTGTTTTTTACTAGGTATGTCTGTATGGGCATGTTATTATGCACGCACATAAACATTTATAAGCACAAATAACATGGGCATGAATATTACAATATCCCTTCTTTTAGCTCTAAAACTAGCTGCTTCCTGGAATCAGCAAGGTTTAGCTTAGTAGACAGAATGGAATTTAACCCTTTGCTCTATCTGTGCCTGAACCAAATCCACTGGATTTCTTCACAGACTGGGAAGAATTTCATCCTCTGTACTGTGATTTGCATGTGGTGGGGGAATCTTCCTAATTGTTAACTACCAGAATTCTAAAAGAGTCCTTTGAATTCTCTTTAAGTTCCTTTTTTTCTTTTTTTCCTTCTAGGCTCCAACCAGGAATGGAGACACCGTTGGATGTCTTGTCAAGGGCAGCATCTCTGGTGCATGCTGATGATGAAAAACGTAAGTCAGAAACCTGTTTTAAAGTGCTTTTTACCTATGCCCTCTTGTCTCCCGCATTATAATAGACTCGTGTTTCTCCACATGGTTTTATGGTTATATGCAGTTTATTTCAGTTGTTTTCCTCAGAGATAACAGCTTAGTACCGTCATTTTTATTTTCAAATGCTAGAACATGTAAGTCTTAGAAATGTCCTGTTTGGATGCTGGAGCTCCAAGGGTTAACTCAAGGAAGTCTTGTCCTTTCTGGCTTCCCAGCTCTTGAATGGAGATAGTCCTTAAGTGTCTCTGGAAGTTCAGATAAATGTGTTGCTTGACAGGCTAATTGACCAGCAGAGAATTAGAGGTGGAGAAAGTCAAGATCATTCCTATCATAGGTAATATGCAGTGCATATAATGGAAAACAGTCTTGAAAATTCCACTTGCATCGGTGAGAAAGAGTAAATATTGGGGGACAAATTCACTAATATAGTGGGGGACAGACGAAAGGAAAGAGAACATGACATTGTCCTCCACAGGGTAACTCCACAATGTGTTAAAGTGGTTTTCCTGCTCAGCCTAAGGCATATTTGTTTTTAAATGTTCTTGTTCAAAGTTAAAATTGCTTGCTGAACGCTATTTGCGAGAATGGCTGTTTTACATGGGAACAGAGTTAAGTGTTCTTTTTCTAAGCGCTAACATGCTAATAACAAAAAAAAAAAATATCTAAGGTTGAGCTTTCATACGTTGTAAGTTCTTAAAGATGAACTACTTTCCAGTGTAGAGCTTAATGAATTGGCAGGCTGGAAGGTGCATGTCCTTAAAATATAAGCTCTGCCTTTTTACTGGCCAAGACTTTTGTTTTTCTAAGCCTCGGTTTCCTCATTACTAACATGAAAGAGCAACACTTCAGAAGGTATTTGTGAGGGTTCAGTGAGCTGTTGGCAAAGATGGGGCTTACCTTAGCTCTCGGCTCCTGATGGGGGACTTCCATGCTCTGTTCTCTCTTGGCACTTGGTTGGCTTCTGGTAGGACATGTTCTCGTCTCTGTCTGTATCTGGGTGGGAAACCCTCTTCTACTACCAACACTCCTGCAAGGTTATCTTTAGACTAGTGATTGGATGAGGTAACAGAGGGTTTTTTGGTTTGTTTTTTTCAACCTCGTACATAATCTACATTTACTTAGCTTTTGATTGTTGGGAGGATATAACTACCCTTTGATGTGGTATAATTATCCCTTGCTAAGGAAATTGAAGCTCAGGGATGTTAAGTGTCATTCTCAAGGACACTGAGCTCAGGAGAGGCAGCTCAGGTTGTAGGCTTTTATCTAACCCACAAAAACTAGTTTAAGCCTCTAAGATTGCAGTACATGTTATTGACTTGAATAGCCAGTTACAAGCTTCATTAAGTATGAATATAGGTAATTTAGAAGTTTTTATACTTTATAAGACAGTATTTTGAGTTTGTTTTATAATGCCCACATTTAGTTAGGACAGCTCTTTGTGTCTTGAGGGCAGAGAGTAAAAGTTTCTTCTCTTTTTGTGCTGCTTTCTCAGTTTCAGCCCTGGAGCCCAGCTTCAGGGTCACTGTTAAGGCTGGAGACCAATTCAATGAGCAGTGATTGGACCCTTATGTATAAGGAGCATACGTAGATGAACAAGGGACACGTAGATGAACAAGGGACAGACACTGCCTTTGTGGAGCTTATGAACTTAACTCTTGCTGCTGTAAAATGTATAGGAGGGGGAGACTGGGAATACTTAATGATAGAAACAGAATGATAATTTCAAGGGAGAGAGGAATTCTTACTTTCCTCTTGTGTTTAACACAGCCGTTAGTGATTTGCAGAGTAAGGATCTATGCATATGCAAGGCCAGAATGATCAGAGTAGACTTTATTCTGGAATATTCTTCTTTGGACTCTGGTGATTCCAGTTGGTTTAGGAATGGGCTGGCATGATTCTGGAATCCCTCTGGAATGATTTCAGTTTCTTGGGATCATTTTTTATATTTAAAGAAGAGGAAAAAAGTCCAAAGATGTCTATAATCATTATTATTAACATGTAGGCAACATTTTTAAGAAACATTTTTACTGTGGCGGTGTGTGCATCACTACCACAAGAGCACAGAGCTCAAAAACTAGGCATTCATTGTATTTTTTGTTATCTAGTAATGTAAGTATATGAAAATTTATGCAAAGTTGAGCATTGTGTCTTCGAGTAGATTTCTTAAGACTTACTTGGGCTTGTTCAGCCTGAATCAGCTTTCTCTGCCCTAGATTAATTCTATTTTAGCTTTTGTTATAAATTGCTCTTACACTTAACATTCTCCTCAACACTTTAAAAAAAGTCTTGTGTATGTAATCTGATTTGGGTGTCTTATTACAAACAGAAAAATGTTCTACTACTTGAGATCAGTTTCCCGACTCATGTAGGTGACCTAAATGACTTGTCTTTTCTTTGGCTCACAGAGACTGAAAACTCAGGCATTTTTGAAGATGTTATTGTTTGAGGATTTTGAAGAGAACAGTGCCTATTAGGACTTGAGTCTATAATACCTGATAGCCTTAAGGCTTCATTATGTCTACTAGCAGAGAATAAAAGAAATATCTCAATGGGACACTGTAGAGCTGAAGTCAATAGTGAAATGGTGGTTTTGTAGTAACACAATAGTCATTTATCTGGATGGCCTGGAAGGAATACATTTACTTAAAATAATCATTCCACTGCTCATGAGACATTGATTTAATCAGCATCTAGGGTAATCCTGGAAGGTACTTAATGAAAATACAACGTGAGATTGCCCGTTTTCCGTGTGCTGGAGGAATCTCTCTTTTCAGTCGTGATTGATGCTGGTGCTGGGAAGACCCCAACCTTTTCCCAGGTCTGTTTTTTAGTAGTCAAAATTGAACAAAATTTGAGGACAGGACACTTAGACACAGGTTTATTAGAACACTTCGTTGTTTCTTTAGCATGATACTTCATTTTATCGTGATGTTTACAAAATATTTTTGGGAATTTTGTTCATGTAGCTTCTGATGATGAGATCTTCTTGTGTCTGCCGACTTCTTCACTTAGATTAAAATAATTTTAAGAAATGTGTAGTTTTGGTTTTGAGGGTTTTGGTGGAGGGGATAGCACTTTTTGATCCGCTCTGATGAGCATGTCTATGATCAGAAAAAGCGGGATAAGGTTGGTGTGACTGATGTGGAGACCAAAGGAAGGGAAGGCAGCCTTGGCAGGGGCTGCTGCTGTACCCACCAGCTCCTCACTTGCTGAAGGTCACTGAAGGTTGACTAATTGATCATAAATTACCATAATCCTTCCAAATAAAGCACTGCCAGGAGTGCAAGCTTTTCTTATTGTGGGGGACTAATGTCCCAGGTGCATGGGATATTTTCATGTATATAGGTTGTGGTCTTTTTGCCTTAAAAAGGAAAAAAAAAAAAAGCCTGTCTGGGGCACCTGGGTGGCTCAGTCGTTAAGCGTCTGCCTTCAGCTCAGGTCATGATCCCAGTGTCCCAGGATCGAGCCCGGCATCGCATGCAGCTCCCTGCTCCACAGGAAGCCTGCTTCTCCCTCTCCCGCTCCCCCTGCTTGTGTTCTTTCTCTGGCTGTCTCTCTGTCAAATAAATAAAATCTTTAAAAAAAAAAAAAAGCCTGTCTGATTAATTATAAGATAATGATCAATTGCACTCACGTACTGTTTTCTCAGATAAATTTCCTTCCCACAAGATCGTGACCAGCCTCTGCATCAATAAAGTAACCCGGTTGCGGTGTGCACAGGTTATGGGTTCTTTAGCCACCACTTTGCTTTGAGCAGATCGGCTGGATCTGCTCCTGATTTGTTCCTCTCTTTCTTCCTCTCCTCTTATTCTCTTGTTTTTCCTCTCAGCATCTATTAGGGTGGCTTTCAAACATTTTTGACCATGGCACAGAGTAAAAAAGTATTTTGTGACTCTTGTATTGATATATTGACATAAATGATACAAAAGCTGCATGAAACAAAAATTACCCTGACTTTGCATGATGATATGCCTGTTCTTTATATTCTACTTTATTTAAATGAGAGTTGGGTCATGACTCATTAAATAGACTTTAGGATCCATTGATGAATTGGGACCTGCACTTGAAAAAACATGATTTGGTTTATATCTCCTTTGTTGGATAAACTTGCTGCTGGCTCTTCCCTTCAGGTACTGGGAAGACTTGATGAACACATGGGTCATGAAAATATCATGAGGAATCTATTGGTGACTAGACAGAAATGACATCATCATATTCTCTTTCAAGAGTATTGGAGGACTTGGCACCCCAGTTGTAAGCAAACGTGACTACTCCATTAGGGGCAGTTCCTCCCTCTCTCAGCCTCTCTTCTTCCCAAATTTTAGAGAGGTGCTCAAGAAAATGGTCATTCCCCTTTGGTTAAATTTATTTAGCTCCATCTTGTTCCCTAAGGTGTGCTCCTAGCTGTACCATGGCTATCAAGATTGCCTAGCAAATGTGGGGCACCTGGGTGGCTCAGTCGTTAAGCATCTGCCTTCGGCTCAGGTCATGATCCCGGGGTCCTGGGATCGAGCCCCGCATCCGGCTCCCTGCTCAGCGGGAAGCCTGCTTCCCTCTCCCGCTCCCCCTGCTTGTGTTC